TTCTTCCTCCTCTCACCTCATTCCCAATAATTGGAGGCTTAGTCACGGGAGGAATGACCCCAAGTTTCCAGGTGCAAAATTCCCCTGTTGTTTAACCCAAGATGATACCATGCTAGCCAGGAATTGGCCCAAAGTGTTTTTTCTTTGTAACTTCATGACAGTGTCCCCAGCATTCCAGTTAGATGTCCCATTCCTGCATGCCTTCATTCAATAGGTACTAAGTGGGCCCTGGGAACACAAATTCCTATAGTGGGGAGTCAGACTGTGAGGCAAGGAAATAAATGCAGGAAGTTGAGAAGCACAGGACATTGGCATTCAGGGGAGAAGGAGCCCCAGGCAGTGAGCATTTTAGAGTGATGGCCAGGACCAGACCCTGCACTGTGGCAATAGGCACATGGCACAGGGTGACACAAGCTGTTTCATGAGAGAGTCACTGGTCCCTTCTGGCTCTGTCATTCTGGGGTCTAGCATCCCAGGCTGGAATGGAGCTGTTGGGCTTGCACCAGCTTCCCCCCTTACTGCACGAGGAGAGGGAACAGGCAGTGGAGAAGCGCCTTTCCAGGCATTCACATGGGCCTGGTTCCCCGCTCCCCCCCCACCCCGGCATTGGCCTCAGGACTGGACACCAGTGTCCATCTTTACTAATAATTGGGATGTGGCCCATATACAGGGCTTGTGTAGGCATCAGGAGCAGCCCCAGCAGCAGCCCCTTCATGCCATGTCCTCTGAGGGGGAGCTTTCCTGCTCACCCAGCCCCCCAGCTCACTTGTTCTCCATCTGTCCCCCAATGTGGTCCTGAGACAGTTTTAAAACATGTCCATAACTTTGACTCTACTCCCTAAGTCCCCTCCCCTGGAACATGGCCGGGCTTAGTGACTTGATTCTAATGAATAGAACATGGCAGAAGTGACACCACGTGACATCCAGGGTTAGATTTGAAATGATGATGTAATTTCTGCCTGGCTCTCTCTAGTTGCTTGTCCTTGGATCCCAGCCACCATGCTGTGAGGAAGCCCAGGCCACATGGAGAGGCCACATGCGGGTGTTGGGGCCGACAGCCAGCATCAGCCACCAGACATGAGAGCCAGCGGGCCTTCAGATAATTCCAGCCCCAGGCTTCAAGCTGCCACTGCTGATGTCCCCACAACTGTCCCTGCTGAGCCCTGCCCAAACTGCAAAGGTATGAATAAAATAAATGCTAGATTAAGCCACTAAGTTGTGTGGTGGCTTGTTATAGAGCATTGGACAATTGGAGCAGGTTGTAAGTCCTAGCTGCTACTGTTTTGTGCCCAAAGATAGTGTGTGGTGGGGGGAGGATGGGGACGGGTGTTTTCAGCCTGAGGCTGTGGGACTATTTGAGATCAGGACTCAGATTCCAGCCAGGCCCCTCCGGCTTTGACGCCTAGTTCTGTGAATCTTCCTAATTGGAACTCTGCTTCCCTTTACCTTAGCCTGGTTTGGCCTTGTTATACAGGCCCTGCCTATATTTGCATGTGATTTGTATGTAATTTGCATACATCTACATGGGTCGTATTAGGTGGTTTCTAAATGTTTCTGGATGCCTCCCGAGGGAAGGTACTGGTATCTTGGACTCTTGGAGGGGAAAGGGACACTGGAGGTTCACCTGGTCTATTCTCACCCCCTGCAGGATCTGCTTGAACAGATGACAAACCCACCATCTTCTCAGGCAGCCCTTGGATGGCTGGTTGTGTTGAAGAATTCCTGTGTTGCAAAGTCCCGTGTAAAGAAAGGTGAGGTATTGCGTCTCTATTTGGGCTTAGATCTTTTCTCTGAGAAAATCAGGGCAAATCAACCACTTCCCCTGGAGACTCAGAACAGGTGCTATGGTGGCCTCAGGCTTCTCTTTCTTGGTTCAGCATCCACAACACCATTTCTGGTCTGACCGTGGGCAGAAGTGCCAGACCAGGGCCTTTAAAATGAAATCTCATGAAAAGTACAACATGTAAGACAGATAAAAGTGGAGCTGCTCTGGCTGAGTGTGGGCAGGGAGAGTGGAATCCCCCCGCAGCGAGGTTCGCCCCCCAACCTCTAGCCACAGCTGGAGAAGCCCAGCTTGCAAACCGCTATGCTGGTTTGCTCCTCCCAAAAGGTGCCTCTGGGTACAGATCCCAGCCCTCTAGACCTGCGGAGCTTCCCAAGTTGAGCCTTGATCCTCCATTTCTGCAGTAGAGGCAACACGGACATTCTAAGCAGTTGCACTGTTGCCTTCTACTAAGCTTAAGGTCCTCTGAGACCTCCAGATTTTTGTCCGTACAACTACCTTTAAGCCAAATCTCTCTTGGCCTACCCCAAGCTTTGGCAGCTCTGGACACCTGGCTTCAGGAGCCTGGACTGAGGAGCGGACAGGGAGTAATGGAGAGGGCTGGCCACGAGTTCTGGTTGTGTGACCTGGAAAGAATCAGCCAGATGCCATTCTTCAACCTTGGAGTGGAGACAAAAATGGTCCTTTCTGGTAGACAGTGCATGAAAAGTACCTGGTTCAGTACTGGTGAGCTGTCACTAGGGCCAAGGGGCTAGTCTCAGACTCCTCACTGCCAACTGAGGAGGTACAGAGCAGTGGTCAGAATACAGACTATGGAATCACGTGGCCTGGTCTGGATACAAACTCTGATCCTGCCGTAACTGGCTATGTGAGATTTTAGACATTTCCTTCATCTGTCTTATCCTTTCTCCATTTCATCATCTGTAAAATGAGGGGACAATAACTAGACTACCGCTCGGGAAGGTCCTGAGGACCCAGGGAAGCTTCCTACGTGTGGAGAGAGCCCAGCGTGCATGGTGCCTGTAAGTGGTACACAGGGGGCTGTTGTTATCCTGGGCTTTGACTTGGGAGAGTCGGCCTGGCCACCGCTGGCTGCCCTAATCCCTGTACTCCCACCCTCCCCAGCACCTGACACGGCCACCACCACACTCGAGGTTCACTTTGGCAACAGGACTTTTATTCAGTCAGAATGAGTAGAGTGTGACAAAAGTCAGGTCAAGTCAGGCCAGCGGGCTTCCCATCCCACTCCTACCCCAGACCGCTCTTCCCATGGGAGAGGGGGTTCCAGGATGAAGGGGGGTGCAGAGAGGCCAATGCAGGGACAGAGTGGGAGTTTTGAGGGGCCGTCGGCACAGGCCCAGCATTCAGGAGAAGGGGCAGGCTGCCCTTTCCCGAGTCCACGTGGACATGACTCCAGTCTCCTAGGAAAACACCACAAATTCTACCTTCTTCAGCTAGTTAACTAAACTTTAGGGTTGGGGGTCAGGGACTTTATGGTCTAATCTCATACTTAAGGAATACACTTATCTTTTTTTTTCCTTTAAAAAAAAGTTTTACTTCTATTTAAAAAAATGAATTAACCAAAAATAGGTATTTGTTTCCTTGTTTTTTTTTTTCTCCTACTTTAAGTATATTGAAAAACAACACAACAGAAAGGAAAAACAAGAAGTCACAAGAACATAAATCTTTAAACACACCTTGTATAAAAATATCTTCCAGCCACATCTGCTGACAGTGGTCGTTCCACTGTCCGGGGGTTGGGTCAAACAGGCCATGTCCCATGGGATAGAGCGCTGGGCATCTGTGCCAGGGAAATCTCCCTGTCCGACACGCACACACACCTGTCACACGCCCAGTCCGCTCCAGGGGCTCCGTGTCTCTGGGCAGAATAGGAGGCAGGCCGCAGGGTGATACCCCCCCCCC